TTAAACCAAGTGGGATGGTTTTCATCATGGCCGAACTTCCATACAACCGAGATAAACCTGGATATGCCGAGCCACAGATTAAGCCGGACTATCATTGGTTCGGTTCTCCCTTCACTCTTCCTTACCTCGGTTCTCTCATGTTCAACCCATAGTACGTTCAGACAGAACCCATGATTCTGGACCGGTATAACTCCAAACTGTTTCCGGACCGAAGTACTTTACAACTCCTAGGCCGAAGTAACTTCTTCTTCTTTTGACCGGAGTAACTTTGTCCCTATTGGGCCGAAGTAACATTACAGCCTTTTTTACACAGTCCTCCGTACTTTGGGCCACAAAATTTATCTTATAGCTCGGCCCAATTTTCACCAAAAATTACCCTCTCACCTCCCTTTAAGTGCTCAGCCTTCTTGATCATTCCCCTGAGCTCACATACCCGCTCAGGTTCGAATACCCCATGTATTATGTTAATAACGTCTTGAGGTGGGGCGTCGATCAGCATTCCGTTTGGGTTGTCGTGGTTCTAGGGGGCTGGCTGTGTCCCTCATTTTATGTACTGGTCCAGGTGCCCAGCTGCCACTAACTCTTTCAAATACTGTCTCAACGGCGTGCAATTCTCTATGCGATGTCCCTTTTCATTATGGAAGGTGCACCGGGATCCTTCGTCATAGTCTTTTTGTGCTTCTCCCAACTTAGTTGGTCATCGGACGAAAGGTTCATCGCGTATCTCACTGAGAATTCGGTAGATTGGTTTTTTGAACACCGTGGTAATGGAAGTGCGAACTCTTAACCTTCTTTTGTCTGGGACCTCTCTGTTGGACCGCCTGCCTCGCCCATCCCCCTGCTTGGACATTCTACCGTGTTGACTTTTGCCTTAGTCTTTTTATCTGGCATTGCAGTTGTGCCAGATTTCGCTTTAGCACGGGCACCATCGTCTTCTACGCGAATATGTTGGTGCACTCTCTCCATTAAGGCCTCCATGGTGAGGGGTGGTGTCATAGTAATTGAGTCCCTTAATTTGTTGCCGACTGGCAGGCCCCTCTTGTATTGCATAATGGCGAGGTTTGTGGGGCAGTCTCCAATCTGGTTGAAAGTCTCCCAATAACGACTGTTGTAGGATCTCAATGTCTCATTGTCGCCCATGTCAATGGAGAGTAGCTGATCGATCTCCACCGGCATTTTGGTATTCGTTCTGAACCTAGTCACGAACGCCTCTGCCAATTGTGCCCAGGAGGCGATGCTGCCTTCTGGTAGCCTTTCAAACCAGGTTAAACCTAGGTCGCCAAGGCTTGATGGGAACAGGATGCATATTAAAGCCTCGTTTCGCCGGTATACTACTATAACTTGGCGAAAGTGGCTTAGGTGCATGTAGGGGTCCATCTTCCTCTTATACGTGGTGAATTTTGGCTAGTGGAAGCCTGAAGGTAGGGGCGCGTTCTCAATTTACGGAACGAATGGCGAGGTCTGCAGTCTTGCTAATGCTTTGTCCGTTGGTTCGTAAGCAAGATGCGGTATTAACATTCCTACCTCGACGCTTCCACGCGTCCGACGAGCCAACCGCTGAAGGGCTGAAACTCTGCGCGGGTTGCGTGCCCTGGTATCTTTCTTCCATCGTGCCCTTTCTTCAAGCATGGTTCACAAGTCAGATGATCTGGGCAACTCCGTGTGCCTGGATGACGTCTTATGCGTATATAAGGGCCGATAGATGCTTCCCTCAGTATAAGACCTCTCTGTTCTCATTTTTTCCGACTTGCAGTAACGAGTCCTGGAAGTTCTTGACTGAGTGTCGCCTATTCTCAGGCTCTTACTCTCTGCTTGCGATGGTGTGGTATGCCTACCATGATCACGATCATCCGAGTGGCGAGGGGGCGTGTTGCTTTTGCGCCCCTCTTCTGTCGCCACCCCTTTTCCTTTTATCTGGCGCTTCATCGACTCCATGTCTGCCGCTATCTTCCTCATCAATTCGTCCTGCTCCTTTACGCGATCCTCCAGAACTTGAGGGTCCATCCTCCGCCTCTATCTTTCAGAACTTTAAGAGCGACGGGGGCTGTTAGCCCGCCTCCCCCTTGTATCCCTCCGGGGGTTCTTTCGCTGGGGTTCTAAATCCGCCATGGGAGGGATAGAAGGCAAACCTTCGCGCCTCCCACCCCCCTCTAGGGTTTGTCCGTCGATGGCGGACTGCGGCAAATCTTCATTGTGCGCCATTACTTCCAATTAGAGAGAAAAAACTTGATCAAGAGGTTTTGTTCTTTCTGGAATTCCCACAGACGGTGCCAATTGTACGAGCAAGAAATAATGTACTCGTATAATCCTGTTGATCAAGTCTGCGCTCCTCCAAACGTCGTCGCTTTACTCTCTGAAAACACAAACGTGAGCTAGCCGGCGGGTGTGTGTCAGATACCTCTCCGATGCCTAAGTCAACAAAATAGACAAATAGACAAAAGTTCTGTTTATTCGGGAATCAAAGTTGTGTTACCTCTTCCATAGGTTCTGTTATGAGCTTTTAAAGGTTCCGTGTGGCACAATCCTAGTAGGTCTCTTAGTCCTCCATGTAGAGTCCTCCTAGGAATCACACTCTTGAAAGATAATGCTTATCCTTCAGCACCCCCCTCACTGCTTAAACCAAGTGAGATGGTTTTACTCCGGTTTGGACAATAGTATGACCGATATAACGCTATCTCTTTCATACTTATCCCGACGCCTTTATATGCAACATGTATCTCGGCTTATGTTTCACTTGTACCTCGGTTTTCACCTGTTTGGACTGGGCTAATCTGCAGCAAGCCTTGACCGAGCTAAAGAGGCGAGGTCTAGCTTAAGGAGCCCACCATCCCGACCGCAGTGACTGTGACCACCTAGACCGAGCTAAACACTAAACACTAACACCATGGTCCACTTCACAAAGCCCTTTTTACTTCGGCCCAGAAAACGGCCCATTACTACGCCTGGGCCTAGCTCGGCCCTAATGCACATATAAAACTCCCTCTCAGATCACATGAACTTTAGATATGTTGTAAGACAAAAACACAACTATAAGTTAAACTCCGCCATCACAAGTCTAAATATGCGTATACAGAGTTATAATCACAAATCTAAATATGCTGACATTAGATAATTAAAACGTTCAGAGTAGTTTAAATGCTTGGTAACTCACACAAACATATCTTATGGTTCCAAATCCCCTCAAATTAGAGTTTTCGACACCCTAAAGCATTGATTTTTGCTTCCATTTGCACTTTGATTTCCAACAGAACCAGTTATGAGTGCTGTGAATTTTCATCATTAGTTGGTGAATTTTTATTTTATTTTCTACATGAGTATATCAATTTAAAATGAGGGGCGATGAGTGTATCTATTTTCTACATGAGTATATCAATTATCAATTTTAGTCTTGATGGGTGTCATCTAGGGGTGTAAATTGGGCCCAGGCTGGACCGGCCCATGTCAGGCCGCCCAAACTCCTGGTAAAATTTTGGTCAGGCCACGGGTTAGAAATTAGGCCCAAGGGTATTTGGGCCTTGAGTGGGCTAGGCCAGCAAGCATGGGCCTGGGCTTAGGTTTGGAGCGGGTCTGAACATTTTTTTTAAAAAAATTTCTTCCAAAATTTTATTCTTTTCCAGTAAAAATGACACTAGGTCTTGGGCATGCCAGGTGAGCCTCGAGCTGGGCTTTGAATGGGCCTTGGGCAGGCCGATGGGCCCGACCATGGGTCGGGCTAGGCAGGTTGGGCTCATAGTTCTAAATCGCGGTATCGAGCAACGTAACGGTATCGATTGCGGAGTATCGGTATCGGTAGTATCGACCGGTACGTATCGGGTATCAGGCGTTGCGGCTGTGAAATTTTAAAAATTATTAGCAATCCCTCTAAAACTCAATTTTATGCATTTTTTGACTCTTTTAGCCTTAATTTATCACATTTTAATCAAAATTTTGATATGTAGAGGAACTTAATTTTGGTATGTAGAGGCACTTAATTTTGAAATTTCAAACATACACTGCTACTACTTAATTTATTGGTTTTAATAGGTCCATGAACAATGAGTCTAATAAATCAACTTAAAGGAATGAAGAAGTGAAATAAGTATGAAACATACTCTATAGGTACATAGTTGAGAAGAAGAATAAATATATATATATATATGAAGAAAAATATATATATTAGCCCCTCAATTAAAAATCCTAGTTATACAAATGTTGGGAGAGGATAAGGATTCTCCGTCAGTCCTTCAATCTTTTTGCCCCAAGTTATTGAAAAAATTGTGTTTTAATTCAACAATGAAAAAATAATTCCATTTTAATGTTGGTGCAAATCTTTTAATCATAAATATGTATTAAAATATATCCCATTCCCATCCCATACCATAATATAAATAGTAAATTACCACCAAAAAAAAAAACGAATTATAACCGAACACAACAACTAGCAAAAGCATGACTTAAACCTTCAAATATATAAAACACAGCCTGTGTGTGGGTTATTCAGCCAAAAGAAAAAACAAAGCATGACAAATATATAAACAGAGCCTAAGAGAACACACCTTCAACGAAGAAGCTTGAAAGCGGTGATGGGTTTGGGTTTGATTCGAAGCCTGAAAACCTGTTTGAGAACACACATTTGCTCAATTATTTTGCAGGTGCTTTGCTCCATTTTTGCAGCCGTACTGGTGATAGAATACATGTATCGGAACTGTATCGTTCATGTATCAGATTCAGGCTGATACGTATCGGGAATCGGCCGCTATGTAAGCAAATTTCATTCTCACCAGTATACCGGCCAATATCCGACTCGGCAGTCCAATTTTTCGATACGAACCGGCCGGTACGGAACCTTGGTTAGGCTTCAAAATAACGGCTTAGGCCTAGGCCTAGGGTCCCGGATTGGGCTCGGGCCCTGGCTTAAGTGGGCCAGACATGTAAGATTTCTAAACAAAACTGTATATTAGATTTTAATTGAACAAAGAATACATACATCACTCACTCATATAGAATACTAAATCCTAATCCTAAACAAATACATCATTGATATAGTGTTCTATTAGATATAGAACATTAACACTAATTCCTAATCCTAAAAGGAAAAGGAAAAGGAAAACGGAGAATAGTGTTCTCACACCCCCGCTCAAACTCAAGGTGTTTTAGCAGAAAATACTCAAAGTTTGTCAAGAAAAAACTGAAACTGAGCAGTGGTGTGAGTCTTGGTGAAGAAATCAGCAAGTTACAGAGTTAAAGAAACAAAAGGAAGCGAGATAATGCCAGACTGTAGATGCTGACGGATGAAATGACAATCAATCTCAATATGCTTTTTTCGTTCATGAAAGATAGTGTTATGAGCAATTTGAATAGCACTTCGGTTGTCACAATAGAGAGAGGTCGGGGAAAATTGAGGGACACCCAAGTCAGATAAGAGACCACGAAGCCAGACAATTTCAGCAGTAGCATGAGCCATAGCATGATACTCAGCTTCGGTAGTAGAACGGGCAACAACAGTTTTTTTCTTACTTTTCCAAGAAATCAGGGAATCGCCAAGAAACATACAGAAACCAGAAGTAGATTTACGATCATTAACATCATCAGCCCAATTAGCATCAACATAGGCCACCAAATCTAACGAAGAAGTATAAGAGAATAGCAAGCCCTGTAAGATAGTACTGCGCAAGATAGCGAAGAATTCGAAGCAAAGCAGCCCAATGTGTAGAGCAAGGAGCAAAAACAAACTGACTAACCACATGAACAGCATAGGCAAGATCAGGGCGAGTAACTGTTAGATAGACTAAACAACCCACAAGTTCGCGATATAACGTAGGATCATCCAGAGGAACACCATCAGTAGTGTTAAGCTTCACATTGAGCTCAATGGGGGTATCAGAAAGCTTAGTGTCAGTAAGCCTGGCACAATGGATAACCTCGTTGGCATACTTAGCTTGGGATAGAAAGTAACCCTTGGGAGAAGAAGCCACTTCAATACTAAGAAAATACTGCAATGGTCCCAGATCCTTCATTTCGAAGGTGTAGAAAAGATGCTGCTTGACCTCAGAGATAGTAGCAGAGTCAGAGCCAGTGATGATCATATCATCCACATATAGTAAGAGAGCAACAAAACCAGTCGAGGTATGTCTTAGAAATAAAGCAGAGTCAGAAGCAGAAGGATGAAATCCAAGCTTGGTAACAACAGCCTGAAAGTGATCATACCAAGCACGAGGAGACTGCTTCAGACCATACAGAGCACGCCGAAGACGACAAACTTGGCTAGAGGAATGGTGAAGACCAGGGGAGGACGCATGGAAACCTCCTCAGTGAGATGGCCATTAAGAAAAGCATTCTTAACATCTATCTGATAAAGAGGCCAAGAACGAATAGCAGCGACAGAGATCAAAGTACGGACAATAGTCATCTTGGCAACAGAAGCAAACGTCTCCTCATAATCAATACCATATTCCTGGGAGAAACCTTTGGCAACAAAATGAGTTTTGTAGCGCTCAAGAGAACTATCAGAATGAGTCTTGACTTTGTAGACCCATTTGCAACCAACCAGATTCTTACCAGTAGGCAAAGGAACCAACTCCCATGTACTAGTTTTCTATAGAGCAAACAACTCATCATTCATAGCTTGAATCCAATGAGGATCCTGACAGGCTTCCTTGTAAGACTGAGGTTCTACAAAAGGGTGAAAAGCAGACAAAAAGGTACGATAGGAAGCAGAAAAATAAGTGTTGAACCCAACCTGTTTGGAGGATGACGCGCTCGAGAAGGATATCGGTGTGCAGCAAGATCAGAGTCGTCAGAAGCAGGAGGATCAGCAGTAGGGGCAGGGACAACTGGTGGAGGAGGAGCCTTGCGACGAGAATAAACTAACAACGGAGAAGGAGAAGAGGCCGAAGGAGGAGAAGCAGCCAGAGGTGAAGCAGGAAGAGAAGATGGAATAAGCTCAGGAGTAACTGTGGAGATTTACTCATCAGAACCTCAGAAGGAAATGAATCAATATGAACCAAATTCTCTTTAGAAACAGGGGCGGTGAGAGGAGGAAGCTGAAAGTAAGATAGACGTTCGAGAAATACAACATGGCGGGAGACATAAAAGGGACGAGAAACAAGGTCATAACAACGATAACCTTTCTGAGTGAGACTATAACCCAAAAAGACACATAAAACAGACCGGGTACTAAGTTTGGTCCTATCTTTACGGGGTAAAAGGACAAAACAAGCAGACCTAAACACACGGAGGAAATAATTAGGAAGTTGAGAAAACAGAGCCTCCTTTAGTAAGAACAGGAGAGGGTCCCCAGACATCAGTATGTACAAGAGAAAAAAAAGAAACAGAAATAGAGGTACTTTTATTAAATGGTAAGGCTGACATTTTAGCAAGTTTATACCCCCGACATTCATCAATTTGACTAGGAAAAACTTTACCCAATAACCCTGACTGAGCTAAAGACTGTAAACGGTCAACAGACAAATGACCGTGGCGAGAATGCCATAAGTAAAACTGACTCGACTGAGAATCTAACTGAAATAAGGAAAATGTAGCTGGAGAGGTGGATAAATAAAGATGCAAGTTTTCGACCACATAAAGGTCTTCAATTCTACGGCTGATCCCAATCTGTTTCTTGGACACCCGATCCTGCACACAACAGACATAAGAGGAAAATATAACATCAAAACCAGACACATCAAGTTGACTGATAGATAATAAACTGACAGATAACTGAGAAACATAAAAAACAGAAGGAATAGTAACAGCAGACATGGCAGAGGGTAAGACAGACTCAACAGATAAACCAGATCCATTAGCAGTATTAATAGTAATATGAACGGGTAGGGGAATACAATTTTGAAGTAAGGAAATGTGAGGAGTTATATGATGAGAGGCACCAGAATCAAAAATCCAGACAGAAGAAAGGATACCTGAAGAGGACCCAAGCAAACCTGAATGATGAGAGGTAAGAGCAGAGGCGGATGGGGATGACTGAGAGGTGGACATGATATGCTGAAGTTGCGCAACCTGCGCACTCAAGGAAGCCCAGTCAGGATCGGGAGCCGGAGTAGATGTAGTGTAAGCAGCAGGAGGTCGGAAAGTACCCGAAGTAGGACCGTGGAACTGTGTCTGAGAAGACGGAGCAGACTGACGTCCCTTTTTGGGACAATTATTCTTCCAATGACCCCTCTGATGGTAGAAAGCACACTCATCTGGCCCTAATGGTCCTCTCTTGGGTTTCGCAGTGGCCTAAAGCTGATGAGGAAGAAGGGTTGATAACAAGGGCGGCTTGGTAGGAGCCAAGAACACAGAAGGAGGCAAAGTCTGACTGGCCGTCTTAAGACGGGTTTCCTCAGAGAGGAGTTCACGAACAATATCATCCACAGAGGGAAGAGGAGATCGGTGAAGGATGCCACCTCGAATAGCCTCATACTGAAGGGAGAGAGCTGTTAAGAACTGGACTACCCTGCTCCCGAAACTCAATATAAGCATCTAGTATCTTGAGACTAGGTGGTTCCATAAGAGCCAACTGATTCTAGAGACCTGTCATCTCAATATAAAAGTCCTGAATAGTCTGATCCCATTGACGAGCATTTTGAATAGTTGTTTCCAACTCATACCGCTTGGCAAAGTTGGACTGCTGATAAACACCGAGTAAATAATCCCACACTTCCTTGGCAGTACTGTACTTGGAAAACATCATTCCAATACGGTCATCCACATAATTATGAAACCAGGTTAGAACTTAGGCATTATCACAATCCCAAGTGTTACAAGAAGACAGACACCCTTCCGCCTTCGGGTCCGATGGACGAGGAACAGAACCAGAAACATAGCCCCATTCTTTTTGACCAAGAAGAAAATTCTTCATGACACTGGTCCCATAGGCATAATTGCCACCAGTGAGTTTACATTTGATGGCTTGAATTTTAGTATCTGACATTGTAATAAAACAAAATTTGTAATAAACAGACAAATATGGGGCTTTAGTGCAATAATCCCGAAAAAGGGTTTTAAGTAGAAATAGCCAAGTTGAAGACACAAAGAGAGAGAGAGAGAGAGAGAGAGAGAGAGAGACTGAGGCTGAGAAACGAATCAGACACAAATCGTGAGGAAGAGAGAGGCAGACGAACTAGAGAGCCAAAGTAGATGGCTGCGAATCGAATCAGACAGAGATCGCGAGGAAGAGAGAGGCCTTCGCGAGATGAACCAGAGAGGGCTAGGGTTTCGAACCTTCGTGAGTCTGGAGAGAGACGAGTCACAACTCCAATGGTGACAAACCAATCGAACCAAAGAGGGCTGATGGTGATGACCCAGACAAACCAGAATGTCACCACTTAGGGCTGATCACGAACCAGAAAGACCAAGGAGGGTTCAAGATCGATGACCCTTTGACCAGCAAACCATGATGGCAACAAGTGAAGCAGCTAGGGTTTCGAACCTAGCTCTGATACCATGTAAGATTTCTAAACAAAACTGTATATTAGATTTTAATTGAACAAAGAATACATACATCACTCACTTATATAGAATACTAAATCCTAATCCTAAACAAATACATCACTGATATAGTGTTCTATTAGATACAGAACACTAACACTAATTCCTAATCTTAAAAGGAAAAGGAAAAGGAAAAGGAAAACGGAGAACAGTGTTCTCATAAGACCCACATCGGGCCACATGCTCATCCCTATAAGCAAACAAATGTTATTATTTTTTTTTTATATTTATATTATTGATATTTTATTTTATATAGTTTGACACATTTAAAAAATTAAGGACCCGCCAAATAATAAAAAAAATTAATACAACGGTTATACTATGTTAATGATATTAACATTTTTTTATTTACCTTCTCATGTGTACGTGACAAAGTAATTATATTTTGAAAATGAAGCTCACCCTCCACATAGGTTTATTGTTAGTATTTGTCAATGGTGACATTACTGTGACACTGAATGTTTACTCATCGAATAAGGGTGTACATCTATTAGAAATTTACTGTTTGAGAAGTTTAAATCACTCTGTTTAGTGAATAATTTTTTAAATAATTTTTGAATTTTTTTTATTTTTGGTGTTGCTTGTCTTTGGCGAATTTTTTATAAATATTTTAAGAATTTTTTTTTAAAAAAAAAATTTAGATTCACTTAATTCTATAAACACTTCAAAAGTAAAATATTTGTGATTTTAAAAAAATATATATTAAATGCAAAAAATTAAAAAAAAAATACTAAATTTTTCACAAATATTTTATATTTTAGATGCAACTAAAAAAATGACTAAAATATAAATAAATAAAAAAATCACTAAAGACAAAAAAAAAAAAAAAAAAAAAAAAAAAAAAAAAAAAATTTTTTTTTAAAAATTAAAAAAAAAAAAAAAAAAAAAAAAAAAAAAGATTGTGTAAGAAAATTATTGAAGAACAAAAAGCCAAGTAAGCCAAATTTTATTTAAAAAATGGTTTAAGCATTTTTACATTTTTCTAAAACTTTCTACTTATTGAGCTTGCTTGTTTCTAATTTTCAAAAAACACTTTTTAGAAAAATTTACTTTCTTATTTTTCGTATTTTTTTGTTTTTATTGAACTTTTTAAATATTACTTAAGCTTATGAAGTGATCTCATTTATAAAAATTTCTCGAGTAATGAGTACATCATTCATGTGTATGGCATAAAACGTTTTCAAATTGGAAGAGTTTTCATGAATTTTATTTTATTTTATTTATTAATAGCAAATGAGTAATACATTGAGATGAAAAGGAAATGCTTTGAGTTCATCATAGTAAACCAACATATTCCAACTAGATTGACACAATGAGGATTACCAAATTGATAGGATATCATAATATACAGAGCAGCTCCTTTACCTGTAACAAACTGATAACTGTATTAGTTAGTAGTTATAACTAACTGTAGTTAGATTGTGTTGAGTTTAGAATTAGTTAGAACTGGAGTTAGATTAGGCGGTTATGCTGGTGTATATAATCTGAGTTGTGTATCATTGTAATATACATCGAAGAAATATGAATAATATTAGATATTATGAAATGCTTCATGAAGATTTTTCATCTCTTGATTATTGTGTGGTATCTTCTTGTATGTGTAATCTAACAGTGGACAATCTTTTTATGATCATTTTCACGATATTTTTTTCATGATACGTAGCATTACTCAATAAATATATTTCTTTTCTCATTCGTTCACTGTAATTCATCATGGTATCAGAGCATGACCTGCTCTAGCGAGCTTCACGAATGTCTTCAATGGCATCACCAACTCTTCCAGCAAATCTTGGTCTCTTGATTTCTAATCTCTCTTCTTTCGTCAATGTAAAGCTTGATTCAACGAATTTCATAATCTGGAAAACACAGCTACAGAATATACTCAGAGCAACTGATCTTCTTGATATTCTTGATGGATCATCTTCATGTCCTTCTCCTTTTGTTCGTGATTCAACTGGAAAAGAAATACCTAATCCTGAGTTTTCTAAATGGAAGATGATTGATAATCATCTTCTCAGCTGTGTCACTGCTACTCTTTCACAGTCTATTTCCACTTCTGTTCTTCATCTCAAAACAAGCTCTGAGGTATGGCTAACTCTAAATAAGCGATTTACCTCTCTTTCTAGATCTCATATTCACCAATTGAAGAATAAACTTGCAGTGTACAGTCAATGTAAAGCAGAGTATATGTGTGCCATGTGTGCAGTATACAGTCAATGTAAAACAGAGTATATGCGTGCCGTGTGTGCAGTATACGATCAGTATGAAGCAGACCACAGTGTGTGCAGTGTATAGAGTACAGAAAATGTAAAGCAGAAATGAAAAGCAGAGGAGAAAACGTACCTCCCAAGCTCGCCAGTAGCCCCCGAGCAGCTGTCCGCTGCAACGGGAGACTGAGAGTGGCCAAGGCAGCACCACCCCAGCCATAGCGCAAGATCCGGGTGACGTCCACGAGAGCGCTGAGCAGGTAGAGGGGCACAGTGTTCGCCTGGTCAGCGAAAATAGTCGTCCCCAGCAGGAACATGAGAAAGTCGCGCGCATATCGCTCCACCGCCTCCTGAGTCAACGGAGCCTCCTCGACTAAGGCTAGCTGGACTCTAAACTGGACTCGAACCATGAATATCGAACAAAGCTGGGACGTGCGAGAGGCGGCACCTCACCGAGCAGGTAGATCTGAGCAGCCTCCCACTCATCCATGTCGGTGTCGAAGGGGATCGGATCACCCCCACTTCGATGCCGGTGAGCATCGAGAAATCATAAAGAGTCATCGTCACGTCTCCTGCGATGGAGAAGTGGAAAGAATTGGTGGTGTCCCACCACCTCTCCACTAAAGCAGCAAGGAGAGGCCTGCTCGCCATAAGGCGCGAGAGTCCCCTGCAGAATGCGCCAATTCCGGCCTAGTCAACAATGCGATGGACTGCGTCCGGTAACTCCATGTACAAGTCCCTGGCGGCAACATTCCCATACCCGCGGACAGTATGGGAATCTCCCTGTTCAAAAGCAAAAAGTTGCGAAGAATGTAAAATGTACAGTTTTGAAGAGTATTCAGAATTGGTGGCAATATAGCGTGTGTGCACGTTTTCAGATTCAAACAAACATCGGGTGCCGGTGTGCTAGCTGGGAACTACAACATGTGATGTGTCAATGTGTTTAAGTGGTTCAGTATAGATATAGCGTGTGTGCACGGTTTCAGATTCAAATAGGTGCCGAGTGCTGGTGTGCTCGCCGTGGAATACAGTGTGTACTGTGTCAGTGTGTCTGAGTGATTCAGGGCCAGTGCAGTGTGTGTGCACGTGTCAGTTTCAAACAGATATCAATTGCAAGTGTGTTCACAGTTAACTACAGTATACAGTGCATCAGTGTATCTGAGCTAAGTAGTTAAAGAATATAATCGAATATGGCAGTTAAGTGTTCTACATTGCGGAAAATGAAACGGGGGAGAGTATACCTTGGAAGCGCCATGTGATAAATGTGACTCCGGCTCACGCAGAAGCAGCTTTGGTGGCACCCTCCTGTCAAAACTCCGGAACTGGCAAAGCTCGTCAGGAGGAAGCACATGAATCGCCGGCCGGTAGGTCGCCGGGTCAAACGGGCGGACACTCAAGGGGAGGAGCTCGGCCTCTGGGTCCATCTCGTGATCCAGGGGAGTCCCGCCCCGTGGAATATCATCCACCATGTCAAAAGTGGTGCAAAAATGGCCGAAATAGTGAAAATCGGGCAAGAATATGAAAAGTCAACCCCAGAAGGGTGAAAAATGGCCGGAAAGGTCGGGGTGCAGAAAAGGCATGAAAATCAAGAAAAACTTGGGGAAAACAAACCCCATGAGGCAGAAATCGAAAAGGAGACACCGAAACGAAGTTTCGATCGGATGAAAGTGTTTGAAACGCGATGAACTTCGCGAATCAAGCGTCGAAAAGAGCACGAGAATCAAGGAAAACGGAGAATGGAAGAGGGAAAAATGCTCTAGAGAGAGAGAGAGCAACTATTTTCGGCCAAGGAGAATGAAAGAAATAGGGTTTGAAACCCTATTTTAAAAGACCTAAGGCGAAAAGTCAAAACTACCCCGAATTAGGCATTTTTTGCCGGTCGGCTACATCTTTGGCCGGCCGGCCAAATGTTTGGCCGGTGATGTTTTTTTATGGCCGGTGACATCCCCTGATGGCCGGTGAGCCTCCTACAACCTTGTTTGGGTCATATGTGTAGTTTGGGGCCTTCATTGGCCGAAGAAGTGCAAGAAAAGTGCATTTTCGAAGCTCGACCGGCCCCTGTTTTGACCTCGGACCGTGTCTTCTGTGCGTGGCACTCGAATATGTGCAAGGTGTATCCTTTTTGTATCCTTTTGTCTCTTTTAAGATTCGAAAGTTGCCCCGCATGCATTGCTTTACAACGCTTTGGTATGAACACGTGTTGAGTTATATATCATTATGCTTGCATTGTTATGCATATTAACGGTTTGGCGAGACCTTAAATACGCTCGGTCTAGGAGACCTTAAATCCTCTGAAGGTGTAAGTCCTTTGGTGTTTGTCGTGCCCGAACGACTTTTGATAAGTTGCATTATACATGTATTTCAAGCGACTCGCGTCGTCGCATATTCAAGTTCACGTGCATTCCAACAGCCGCACGTTGTCGCCCATTTCATGATCATTTGCATTGTCATGCATCTCAAAAGCCACACGTTGTCGCGCATTTCAAAATCATGCATCATCATGCATTTGCATTTCAAAAACAAAACAAAACAAAAAAAAGTGCATATGTCATGCATCATTGCAAAAAATGCATATGTCATGCATCACTGTTAAATAGTGCATATGTCATGCATCATTGTAAATAGTGCATATGTCATGCATCATTGTTAAATAGTGCATATGTCATGCATTCATTGTAAATAGTGCATATGTCATGCATACCACTGTAAATAATGCATATGTCATGCATCTTACTGCAAATATTACATTTACTCCCATCCATTGCATATTGTAGATATTGCATTGTAGCTTGTATGCATTCATTGCATCACTTCCATCTAGGGTCTGCGCCTTTCCTTGTTAAGCTTGGTCTGGTATGTGCTCATACTTTTCACGTCTATACACTCATAGTTCTGTATGACCATTATATGTTAGACGTGATTTGTTCGTGTCCATGCCTTTCCTAGGCAAGATACAGCTTGGCCGTAGGCCTTATTCCACTGTATCCATTCCATTGCATATTTGTAAATAGTGCATTGTAGCTTGCACGCATCGACTGCATCCCCACATCTATGGCTTGTGCCTTTCCATGTTGAGCTTGGTCTGGTATGTGCCCATACCTTTCATGTCTATACACTCATAGTTCTGTATGACCGTTCTATGTTAGACATGGTTTGTGTGTGTCCATGCCTTTCCTAGGCAAGATTTGGTTTGGCTGCTTACCATATCCATTGTATATATATTACATTGTAGTGTAATTTATTTTATTCTTTTTTAATTTTTTTTTTTTGCATCCAGCATTAGGATCATTGGTCTTTCTTCAGTGGGTCATTTCCCCACCTATGTCATTCCACCCAATTACTTGTTCTTGTGTCCGTCTACATCACTCATAGTTCTGCATGTGTACGCGCCTATTCCATGTTGGTATGTTGGTTTGAGGGTTGCGGCACCTTTTCTATGGTAGACGGACTTTGCATCTCCATCAATCTATTTGACATTTGTGTGGTTTTGAACCACTCATGATTTAATCATGATTCAATTGCATTGCATTTTCATTTGCATTATTATACATAGTTTTGTATGTATCGCATATCATTTTGCATTCATTTTGTTTGTTGTGCATATTGCTAACGATATCTGTACTTGTTAAGTTTTCTTTCAGGCACGATATTGTATGTATGGTTCATTTGAAGCTGGTGCAACCAGACGAACCACACAGGTATTGTATTCTCCGACTGAGACGTATCGAGAATTGCATAATTCTCTTACATCCTTTTTGCATTGTAGTGTAGTTTGGTGTATGCTAGCTTAAAACTGTCGCATGTTATGCTTCGTTACAGCTTTCTTTGCATGATCATAAGTTATGATTGGCTCCTCGCATTGTCAATTGCATTTTGCCCCTACCTTCAGGCGCATATCTTTGCTTGTCTTGCATGTTTGTCTAAGTCTTTGGCCTTGTCAAAAATAGGTCGTCTCTAGGCTTTGACATTCACTCCAGTCATTGTTATGACTTTTGAGTTCTGTCAAAGAGGGGCAACTGTAGACACCCCATTTTTTACCGTCCTCAAGGCTTGGACATCATCGTTTGAACATGCGATGATTATCCATGCTTGTGTTTGTTTTGAGTTTCGAAAAGTCTTGGCTGCGCGCCTTGCCTTAGAATCTCTTAACTTCTCTGTTTTGTGCTTGGTTGCACCAAGAGCTTGTGGATGTGTTCCTGAGGGAAGGGGTAGCCTGTCGACCAAGCCTCCTGCCCACCGGCCACCTTGGTTTTCAATCGGCCAAATGTGATGGCCGGCCGGCCAATTTGACTGCCAGTCGACCACTTTGACGGTCAGCCGGCCAAGTGTGGTTTTCAACAGATATCACTGTAGACAGCTGGCAGCTGTCATTCTAGGCCATACCCCAGCCCATGCCTGGACGTGGGAGTTCTGAGGAGCTACAGATTGATATATTTCTATATCAATCAAGCTCTCTAACAACACAAGAGATATACAACTTGGAGCAAAAAAATCTCTCTACCTCTGCATTTTCTGCCTCTCTCTCTAACGTTTAGGGCTTGTTTGTGCTCAAAAGTGCATTTTCTTTGCACTTTTGCATACAAACACGTAGTTCTCTACTCCCTTTATTGAGTTGAGGTCCTTGGAGGTGATTTTTGGGGTGATTTGAAGCCTTCTTTTGGTCCAAAAGTTGCTGATTTGCTGCTGTGCTTCAAGGGTGAACTTTTACCTCTTTTAAGCCTTGTTTTCATAGCTTGTTTTGCCATATTTGAAACTGTTTTTGAGCTTAACATATAACATAGAAAAGTCTTGTTTTTATCTGCCCTAAATAGTTTCTTAAGGGTGTTTTAAGCTTTGGGGTTGTTTGACTCCTCTTAAGGCTTGTTTGGCCCTTGTTTT